TGCACACGTTTTTTCTACCGTCCCTGTGGCTCAGTTGGGTACTCGGTTTCCGCCTGTGTCCCCTTGTGTGCCACTCGTGTTACGATTTATCTTTATCTTCCCTGTCGCTTCCTCGGGGAGTGTAGTGACGTTTTGCTGCGGTTTTGGTACTGTGGCTGTGTGTAGGGGTTGGTTGTGGCATTTTATTCGGCCCTTCCGTGCTCCCTCTGGGGCCCTCCGTCCTTGCTGGTCTTGCTGTGCCGGGCCTGGTGTTTCCATGTTCCTTGGATTCTCTGTCCTGTCCTCGTCCTCGCCTCGTTGTGCAGGCTGGGGATGAGTTTGGGGTCTTCGTCTCGCCCCTCGACTATCCTTCGGTTTTGGTTCAAGTTCCAGAGCCCAGTGGGCTCCCTTTCTTAGTGTTTTTCACGGCTGCCCCGGGGTTTTTCTTGACGCTGGGGCTTTGGGAGGACAGCTCGGCCCCGGGGCCTCAGGCCCCGTTGGTCCCTGCCGGGTTTTTTCTACCCCTCTGGGCGGGGCTTGCGGTTTTGTGGAGTGGGGTTTTTCCGTTCCCCCTCTCCACACGTACTTTTTGGGCGTCGGCCCCTCCCTGGGCTCGGTTTCCTTGTCCATTATGCCCGTTGCTTCCGTCTTGTCGGTGGGTGCTTTTCTACGGTCTTCGCCTCTTTTTTTTTTTTCCGGGACGGGCCTTCTCCGTCATGTCCCCCTCTTCTTGGGGTTCTGCATGACTTTGGTCTCGGGTGCAACGGGGTTTTTGTGCCTTCGTCCTTTGTGTTTGCTTCTTTTTGTTCTCGAAGGTTCGGGACGGTTTTGCTCCTTCCCGTTTTCTGGTACGTCTGTCGTCGTTCGGTTGAGCTTCCCTTTGGTCCTTTCTAGGGCTTGTGGGTCCTATTCCAGGCAGCTTCTGGGTGTTTGGCCTTGTTCTTTTGTTCATATCTCTTCTCTTAGCGCAGTCTCAGCGCTGCTCGTTTTCCTGGGGGCGATTTTGCTCCTCTTAATGAGTGTCTTTTCGCTCCTGCCCTTCTGCGGGATGTTGGTGCGGGATAGCTCCTTATGCGGGTTCCTTCCCTGTCGGCTGCACTTGTAGTGGTGGTGGACTTTCACGCTTGTGGCATTTTGGTTTTGGTCCTGCGTTTCTTTTCCCTCCTGGGGCTGTCATAGGATTGGCTTGCGGAGGATGTAGAGGCGCTTGGGGCCGTTCCTGGGTCTGGCACCTTGGTTTCTGCTGCTAGCTTTCGGTATCGATGTTCCTTCTGCGCCATTTTGCAGGCTGTCTCGTGTGTTGTTTCACCTCCGGCCTGCTCATGCATTGCCTGTGCCATTCTGGTCTTTGGACTGGGTGCTCTCCTGTTTTTCTTCTCCTTGGTTGTGGCTCCTTCGGTTCAGGTTTGCTTTGCATTGGCTCTCTTATTATGTTGGCATTAGCCTCTGAGCTTCAGAGCGTGTGGCAGAGCTTCATGCTCTTCTCAGGCGCAGTGGTTTTTGGCTCCTATGGTCGTGGTCATAGTTTTCTTCGTCTGCAGCCGTTGTTCCTCTTTCTGGCGAATGATGTGCCTGATGCTTTCTGGAGGGGTCCTTGGGTTGTTGTCTCGACATCGTGTTGAGGAGTGGTGCACCGACCGCCTCCCGGGTATGTCCCCTTGTTTTTTAAGTAGTCTTTGGTGAAGTAGCTCCGAGGAGCCATAGGAGCTCCCCCCAGAAAAGCAGCGTTGAATGTAATGAAACGCCATTTTCTGTGTGAGTCCTGGAGACTCCCCGGCACCCTCCTGCCCTCCGGTCGGCGTTTTTTTAGCGGTTTTGATATCCAGCCTCAGAACTGGGGCGGGGATCGCCGGCGCGGGGGTTTGGGGCTCCCCCTTCCCCCTCCCGGGGAGGGGGGAGCTGCGCAGACATGCGGCGCGGCTCGTGTGACGTCATGCTTGTTAGTTCGTTTTTCTGGGGAGTTCTGTCTACTTGTTTGTCGATTTTTGTTGTTAAACAGAATAGGGGTTTGTTTTGTGGCGCTTACCTTTCTGGGTGCCTGTCCCGGTCGATGGCAGACATAGAATGCTCCAAATCACATGTGCAATTCTATGGGCCATTGCTCCCCGTGCCTCTGTGAGGGGGCTAGGTTCTGGCTCGTGGTCCCCGGTAGGCCTAGAACTCCACCCACATCGACTGATGCAAAATAGTTAGGATATCCATATCAGCCATGGATAGCTCCGGGGAGCCTCTTCTCGACTCACCCAGAAAATGGCGTTTCATTACATTCAACGCTGTTTTTTTTATCGTATATGATGCATATTTGTGACCTTTACAATATGTATACAGTAGAACGTTCATAATGTTCCCTAGAACTGTGATACATGGGTCAGTAATGTGTCCACAATAAATGTTTATTGTTGCAATATTACCTGTTAAAAATTCACTAAAATTACAATATGTACAGTTTCACACACTATTTACACAGTAACACACTGTATTACACACTCAGTACTTCGGAAGTGAGTAATAATCAACGAAGTAACCCATGGTACACAGCGCGACTTCGCTCTCAGTGCACCAGGTACAGATAAATTTTCACTTCCTGTTTCTTCATTCTGTGTGCTTGCAAATAACGCACTCACGTACACCCTTGGCTTTAGTACTTGTAGGTTGTATGTAGCCAAGCTTGTAAAGCATAAGGTAGTATTGAAAAGATTATAGGAAAAGATCAATTTGTAAGGTAGTCTTGAAAAGATCGCTTTGTATGCTCCCACACAGGAAGAGATTCAGCTTGCCTGAAGAGTGTCTGTCAGTTGGGAAGAGATTCAGGTATTCTTGAGAATATCTATGGAAAACACCACCATGGAAGCTGCTAACACTGTTCATCTATGCTATTTGTATCAGATGCATCATCACTGAACGCAGAAAACGATTCATCTATGTATCATCTAAATAAATTTGTAGATAGCATAGGATTGCAAGGGTGACGCTCAGAGCTACAATTGGATACTCTCGCTGTATCGTTCTCGTAGGTGCTGTATCACTTGCATCCGACCTTTGAGTTAGGTCCTTATTGTGCCTAGCTTCCGCTATATTATGACCCTTATGTTCTTCAAACAATAAGGTTTGAATTTCACCGACAGAGCATTATCTTTCAACACCGCGTCAGACAGGTGTTTGGGAGCCAGAGGCGCGTTCGCCACCCAAGGTTGCTCAGCCAGCAACCCTAGGGCATTCTGGGAATTTTTTCCAAGATGGCTGCCTCTAACTGGAGGTCCTAAGAATCCATTTTGTACACAACCAACCTCGTACACATTTAGAATTGGTTATGAAAAATCAAAGAGAGTTTTCTCAGTTGGTGCAGTTAAAGATAATGTGATGTCTAACTACAGACAAGTGTTAAAATGTAGGGAAAACAAATGTCTTTAGACAAATTCTTAGTAAGAGAAGCAAGCAGTGAGCCACAACCAGGTCCTAGTGGTATGCCTGCAAAACCCCAGAGAGAAGTCATCACTGCCTGATTTTATAATGGAAGGGGACTCCCCTTCCAAACAGTAACACCTCTCCTCTCTCCCCCCCCCACTTATCGTCTTCCATATGCCAACAAGAGTCATCAATAATGGTAAGCTATAACCTGTACATACTATAGTATAAAATATTTGTGTGAATTTGGTATGAAATATATTTTGAAATTAATATTTTTGGAAGTGTGGAACAGATTAATTTAATTTACATTATTTCTCATGGGAAAATTTGTTTCAGGTTACAAATTTTTGGGTTACCTACTGTCTCTGGGAATGGAGTATATTGGTAACTGGAGGTGCCACTGTATGTCTTATACAGCAGAAAATATGGAGGTCTCTGTTAGTCATTCTGGCTGAATTGCGAATGCTTCAGGGACACTGGCTTCAGTATAACCCCACAGAAAATCATAAAAATTACGTGTTGTGCTGATGTTAGTATTTGTAGTGAGCATCTGGGCATGGTCTCCTCATTTGTCATTGGGATCATGTTTAACTTAGCAACTGACAGGTATAGATCAAAATGGAGCTTTAACTTTTAAGAGAAAATTTTTATGATGAGATTGGACTCCCAGGCACATCACTACTGGTCGAACGTGGCCAGTTATCTTGTAAAACTTGTAGGATTGTGGTACGTTGAGCGCATTGTGGTTCAGTTCACTTGTTAATATCTACAAGGAAAAGTCTGCAAAAGTTGGGACTGTACACTGAGAATACAGTAATGCAGAAATGACAAACAGTATAGAAAAATGTCTCAGATAATCTTAAAATGTCAACTTGGCTGCATTATATCTACTTGCTAAGGCTGCATTTAGCATGCTGTCACATACAGTACTTCTATATCTTTCTCTGTGTTATTACCTACCCCTCATGCTCTTTTGGGAATGCCACTCCGCCTCTACACTTAGCAGCACCCCACACATTTCTAACAACAACAGTGAGTCAGCTGTTTCATAGATCCAACATATATTCATCAACATGACTTACTGTACAGTATTGAAATTAATTTTCCATAACTGCTTGGTATATGTATTATTATTATTGCTGCTTCTATTTGAAGGGAAAACTCATTATAAGATGAGTGTTTTGTGTACTAGATGATATTTAAACATTATGTCCAGAGTGGAACATTGTCTATAATAAATCAACCCATCTTGGTAATAAATGTATCTTTATTTGTAAGCTTGGGATACAACCATGCAAATAGAATGTAGTATTTTCTTGGAAAAAAAAAAAAAGCATTACTAATATGTTTTCTCTGGACTACTGGGCATTGGCACCCATAGGTTAGGTGGGCTAGCATAAGTTTGTACACTCGGGTACGATAAAAGCTCATAATTTGGATGCTTGTTTCATTGTAGAAATGAATTACAATATTAGCTTGTCTGTGATCACTTTTTTACAAATGCTGTCGGCAGACATTACCTGCGCGTGTCTTATTTCTTACTGTCTGCATACAAAGACTTTACATTGTAAACTTGTAAAAACCTTTCTGACATGAATTCTTTTACATTTCAGCTATAGAAGATGATTACATAGGGCCGCGTCTTGAGGATGGGAAGGTAACGGAGACGTTTATGCGGGAGCTGATGGAACATTACAAGGCACAGAAGAAACTGCATCGTCGGTATGCGTACAAGGTAGTGGACAGTATGAGTGAGAAGTTTTGCATTCACAGCTGTGATATACTAGTATACTAGTATTGCTGCATACCTTCCTTGTGGCTACTGCCTAACTATTATTCTGTTTTATACTTGATGGCAGTTACTGATTCTAACATTAAAGTTTGTTTGCTTTATAACATTTACAATCACCATCACTAGCTCCAAGCAACAGCCTGCTGGACCAAGCTCTCACAAGTCAAGTCTGGTCTCGGGCTGGGCTTGGGATGTAGAAGAACTCTCAGCACCCCATCAAGCGGATATCACCATCACAATCACTAGCACCACCACCACTGTCGTCACCACCATTACCATAATCACACCATCACCATAAAAATAAGCAAGAGAGGCAGAAGATCTGTATATAACTACACCATAAGGGTAAGGCAATTACAAGAAATTGTAAGAGAGAGCGAGAGAGAGCTGAGAGTAGAGTAGAGTCCTAACACCAGAAGCTCAAGTGACTAACAGCCTGGTTGATGACTGGGCCATGGGGCAACCTGTCTTCTTACAAATTACGTCTGAATTTGGCCGCTTACCCGTATGGCCGAAAATGGACATAATTTCGAAATGAAAAATAATTGAAAATAAATTTTGGATTTTTTTTTTCCAAAACAGTAAGTTGAGAATCCTCTGGTAGGTTAGGAGGGTAGGAAATTCTCCTAAAGTTTCAAAACGTCATGAAAAACGTTAATTGAAAGTTTACTCTCCTAACCTAACTGCGTAAGCAGGAGGACTCAAACAGAAAACGGGACAGTATATCACTTTTGTGAGCCAATTTCATTTTAAATTACGTACATTTCTGTGGGGAGCCCCTACAGCTCCCTGGAGCTTAACGGGCTAATGTGTTATATTAGACCGGGACATTAGCTAAGGAGTTCAGACCTACCAGGGACCAGCGTCAGAATCTGGCTCCTTCAGAGGGGTTTCAGGGAGCAATGGCCCTGGAAAACCCCCTTATGGTTGGGGTTTTCCTTATCTGCCATCGACCAGGGTCAGGCACCCAGAAAGGTAGGCATAACAAAACAAACCCCACATGGTAAAAAACTAAAACAGAAAACTGAACAGAGAGGTAGAAATTCCCTACAATCCCAAGGAAACATGCAAACGAGCAAACATCACACTTTACTGCTGTGCCGATCGTCCGCACAGCCCTCCCCACCCCAAGAGGGGGAGGGGGGGGCCGAACCTCACCGTGCCGGCTGCCTAGCATCAGTTTGTAAGCTAATGTCAACTGGGACAGACACTTCTCTGGCCTCAGTTTCCTAGGCGGTGTTTGCCTTTCGTGGCATTCACTGCCGTGTGTTGTGTTGTGCGGTGACTAGTGTTCTTCATCAGTATCGGGAGCTGCATGCGCTTAGGGGCTTCCTTCCCTAAGTGCCCTGTGAGTACTGCCCCTGCGTGCCAGGGTTATCTTCCCTGGGGTGTTCGGGAACCATTCCCGTAGAGATTCTTGCTGCTCGTTATTTGGGTCCCCAAGGGGCTTGGGGCCCTTGTTTGGCCTTGGGTAGGGACTGGCATTGTGCTGGTTAGGGTGCCAAGGTGTTGCGCAACCTGCCACTACACGGCGACCAGTTCCTGTTTCCTCTGAGGACGGTCTACTTTTGCGGGGGTTTTCTTTTGTTTTTATTTTCATTTGCCTGGTGGGGGTCTATCTAGTGTGGCTATAGTTCCACTAGTAGTGTTTGGTGGCCCTCTGCTAGGCCTCCGTGATTGTACACGTTGCAGGGGTTTTCTGTGTTGTCCTCTACCCCTTGTTAGTTTTGAGTTTTAACCGGTTAGCAACACCTTGCCCGGGCTTCCTGTAGTTGTTACCCTACGGGCCCTGGAAAATTTTGTCGGGGCTCGGTTGACCACTGAATGTGACTTCCGGGTTCCAACCCGTCTTGTGCGGGTTTGTTGGTTGCTGGGCCCTTGTCTCCAAGTGACAGTCGAAACTTTTATCTCCGTCATTCTGCCTGTTGGGTCACTGACACCTTGACCCGAGTCTTGCGAGTTGTGTTCTCTGCTTGTTCTCCAGTGCCCTCCTGATGTTATTACTGTTCAGAGTACAGGTAGCATCCGTGTTGCAAACTTGGTTTAGGTTGCTGCAACGTGCTAGATTGGTTTTCCACCCGGATGCCCCGGGACCGCCCCGTTTTGGTTAAGTGCTGTTTGCCCTTTCCCTCCCTGTTACCGGCTCCTGACCGACTGTGGGTATCGGGGTCGGAGCGGGGTTTAGTTGGGGCTGAGACTCGGGCGGTTTTGGGGGCTGTCCTGTTCGGGTTGGGGACAGAGGTTTTCGAGCCTGTTCCTCCTGCCAAGGCTTCTGGGTCTTACCAGTGGCCCTTCCTTGCTGTCTTTCCCCTGGACTCTATCTTTTCTTTAACCACCGTGCTGCGCATAGTTTATTGTGAAATTTCCCCGGTGCACATGAAATAAAGTGTTCCCAATAAATTCTTCTTTTTTTTCCCCTTCCCTGAACATGTCTATGTAAAAATAAATACCAAATTCCACTTACTTTAGCTGTGGGGACGTGGACAAGGTGCACTGTGACGTCATCAGGGCCTGGTCGCCCGTAGGTGAATCGCTCAGACACGGTCATGCGGGCCATTCAAGCACCGGGTGTTGCCACAAATATATTTTCAATTATTTGTTTTATGTATTTCCAGTGCGGTTATATTTATTTTTTTATCGTATATGATGCATATTTGTGTCCTTTACAATATGTATACAGTAGAACATTCATAATGTTTCCTGGAACTGTGATAAATGTGTCAGTAATGTGTCCACAATAAATGTTTATTGTTGCAATATTACCAAGAATTCACTAAAATTACAATATGTACAGTTTCACACACTGTATTACACAGTACTTCGGAAGTGAGTAATAATCAACGAAGTAACCCATGGTACACAGCGCGACTTCGCTCTCAGTGCACCAGGTACAGATAAATTTTCGCTTCCTGTTTCTTCATTCTGTGTGCTTGCAAATAACGCACTCACGTACACCCTTGGCTTTAGTACTTGTAGGTTGAATGTAGCCAAGCTTGTAAAGCATAAGGTAGTATTAAAAAGATTATAGGAAAAGATCAATTTGTAAGGTAGTCTTGAAAAGATCGCTTTGTAAGGTCCCACACAGGAAGAGATTCAGCTTACATCAAGAGTGTCCGTCAGTCAGAAAGAGATTCAGCTAGCCTCAAAGAGTGTCTGTCAGTTAGGAAGAGATTCAGGTATTCTTGAGAATATCTATGGAAAACACCACCATGGAAACCACTAACACTGTTCATCTATGCTATTTGTATCAGATGCATCATCACTGAACGCAGAAAACGATTCATCTATGTATCATCTAAATAAATTGTAGATAGCATAGGATTGCAAGGGTGACGCTCAGAGCTACAACTGGATACTCTCGCTGTATCGTTCTCATAGGTGCTGTATCTCTTGCATCCGACCTTTGTGTTAGGTCCTTATTGCACCTAGCTTCTCCAATATTATGACCCTTATGTTCTTCAAACAATAAGGTTTGAATTTCACCGACAGAGCAATCTTTCAACACCGCGTCGGACAGGTGTTTGGGAGCCAGCGGCGCGTGCGCTACCCATGGTTGCTCAGTCAGTACTAACCCAGCCAGCAGCCCTAGGGCATTCTGGGAATTTTTTCCAAGATGGCTGCTTCTCACTGAAGGTCCTAAGAGTCCATTTCGTACACAACCAACCTCGTACACATTTAGAATTGGTTACGAAAAATCAAAAATAGTTTTCTCGGTTGGCGCAGTTTCCCGCCGACCGAGAATACTCGGTTGGCGCAGTTAACACTTTCGCTCGGGGATGACGCAGCATTGCGTCATCCGTTTACTGGCGGTAATGCCGGGGATGACGCAGCATTGCGTCATCCACTTTAAAAATTCGCCAAAAATCAGGTTTGTATCCGATTTTTTGGGGACTGGTTTTAAAATGTGCGCCGATGTCTTCCCATTTCCTTTGTTGAGCCTTGTGGCCCTCAGGCGCCTTGGCACACGCCGTGGGCCCATTGTCTTTGCTCCACTGTTGTGACCAATGTCGTCTCCCCTCGCATCTCAAACGTGTGAACATTTCGGCTATTTTCCGTGGCTATATTTCTTACTGCGGCTTTAGAAACTATCTACGCTTACTCCACGATGGATAGTAATCATGAACAAGGCCCTTCCAGGAAGAAAATTGCGAAAGAAAGGCTTGAAAAGGGTGGGAATTGGGAGTGTAGTAGGAAGGCCTCTGAGCGCTCACTCACGGCTAACGCGTGGCCCGTCTTCAACTCGTCGGCGGTTGGAGCGTGACCAGGTGTTTTTTTTTATATGCTAATGTTCCTCTAGAGAATTTTATTACGAACCCATTGAGACCAAAATGAAAGACCTAGGACAAAAATTGAGGTGACCAGAGTGAAAATAGTGAAAACATTTTATCCCGTTTGCGCGCTCCCGGGTAACTCGTTCGCACTTTCTCTGTTTGCTGCGGGTAATTAGCCGGGCTTTTGGAGTTTATATGCATTTAGTGCTGTAGAGAATTTTATTGCGAACACAATGATACCAAATTTATTCTCGTAGAAGGAGAATTGAGGTGACAAAGTTGAAGAGAGTATACACTTTTTGGAATTAACGCGCGCTTCCGTGACACGCTGGGGCCCATATCGCCCTGTCGAGGGGTGGCGCGCGGGGTGAGCGAAAGTGTTAAGTGGTTAACCCTCAAACCGCTAGGGGCCCAAATGGAATTCACACCCACAGGCGCAACAACAGCAAAAAATTCCAAAAAATTCTTTTGTCTTATAGAAGTGTTCATTTTTGTTCCCTGATCACGGAAAAAATAACAAAAAAATCGTAGGTGGCATATTTTAGCTGCAATAGGGTAGGGAAGTGTGGCAAAAAAGGGGCGTTGGCAGAGCTTTCGCCAGATGAGGTCTACTCCGCCCGAGCTGTCAGACGGCAGTTGCCACAAATATATTATTACCTAATTATTTCAATG